TACCCTTCAAAACCGGAACACAGTAATGCTGACATTACTGCTTGGCGACAGAAATAGGAAAGGTGGCAGTACTTCCCTGGACTTTGACTGTCTGTACATTGCCAGACTTGGAAGTTGAACTACTGAGTGACTCTCTTTATAAAGACACTATTGAAGAACACTTCGGGAATGAGCCCATTCAAGAACTTGCAGGTTCTAGAAAGGAACGAACGTGATGTCCGCTTGATCTTGGTACGCCAGACATCAAAGACATGGGGACGAGTTCTACTCCTTTACGGTTTTGGAGAGGAATTCCCTGCATGTAGATCTGTTCCCTAAAGACTATAACTTGGGCTCTTTCATCGATCTCACTCTCATTTTACGTCAAGGGAGAGAGAGGTCAAATGTGTAATTATTTTATCCAATAAAGCAATCGTAACGATGTCAAATTCGATAAGTTCTTCTGAACACTCACCGGTAAATAGAAGAATACACACGGAGAGCCAACGTCCCTCCATAGACTACGGGGTTTTCAAACCATTTAATGTATGTAATAAACATTTTATCGTTATAATAACAATATAAATACTCAAATCTGATTTAAGTTTATCATGACCGTTGAAAAGTGAGAATTGTAAAGGACCTTATTTTTTCAAAGTACAGTACTATTTATTACCTTAAAATACAATATCATTCACACAAAAATCTAATAAATCGACAATATTCAGACTTTTAATCATTCTTTATTGCACAAAGAAAAGATGTGTCTAAAACACATGTTACAAAGGACTTATACAACGGTGAGCTTGTCTCAGAGATCTCTTCCGCCAACCCTAGCCGTGGTGTAGAAATGAAGTCAGCGGGACTAATTATTGTACAATAAAATTAAAATTTAAATATGAATAAAATATATAATTGATAATGACATACATATATATGAAAGACATACACATATACATGAACTTTATATGTAAACATAAATAAATACATAATTTTTGTTGTTATTCAATTACGTTTCCGGTGCGATATCATATCCTGCTACAGCGACGCAGCACTGTAGGAGGGTCCATGTACCTCGTAATTCGGCTAAATAACGCCACTGTCCTTGCTTCTCCTTCTTCTTAGGCTATGTTCTTGTGGGTGTAATAAATATACGACTTGATACCCACTTTTGTTTTTATCTTGTCGATTTCATTTTTCTTTGACCTTTGTTTCCCATGCCTGTCCTCTACTTTAATCTCAATAACATTTCTACATTAGTCATCATATTGTACAATAATGTTAAATTTACTACAAAATGTCATAATAACATTTTTCTTTTGAGCGAGATGATTGTTTCTCTATTCATTAGTAGCGGAAAGAAATTTGTGTAAAGTTTTTTTTACCATAGAGTCGCAGATGTCAGAGAATGAGGAACAGTGCCTCTACCACGAGATTACTAAGACAATTGTCGCCAGCGACCGCGTTTTACTTCACAATTTTGTATGGCAAATCATACAGTACCGCAAGCGGTCACAAGAAGGAACAACATTTTCTATACAAATATTTCACGCGGTCGCTACCGAAAACTGACACTGTAATCTCATGGTAGAGACACAGAAAGAAATAAGTTGGTTACAGGAAAATAAAAAACACACGTTTTTAGAAACATAAATTAATTATATTTTAACATTCATTATTTTTGTCTAATGTTACTATGTACATAATCTTAGTACAGAGTACTAAAAACCGACCTTAAAAGTTCATGTAATTACATCTAATTGCCAAGTTTTATTGAAATACATAGTTTACAGGAAAAATTCCAAACCGGATTTAGCACCTAGTTTACCAACCTTAGAGGTGGAATATTCTCTTCAAATTTAAATGGGATCAATACTAAGGTACCTTCTTCCAATAAAAAAGAACCATCAAAATCGGTTCTCAAATGTATCGCATAACATTCATACAAAAAAATACAGTCGAATTGACAACCTCCTCTTTTGAAGTCGGTTAAAAAGTTATAATTTAGACTTCTTCTTTTTATATAAATTTTGCAATGTATGTACATAGGTTTTCACGATTGCTACACATTGGAAATGAAAACCTTATGAACGCGATTGTTAGCTGAAGTTAGACCTATCTACTTGGGACATCGTTTTTCAAGTGAATCTTGAGAATGGAAAAATTAGAGATGATTGTACTCATGAAAACAAACAACTTTTGCCCACTTGAAATCGAAGAAAACAAGACAATAGTAGGTTTAGTAGCAGTAGAATTCCTTGTAAAAGAGTTCGTTCAGGAAAGTACGTATTTACGGTTTTGAAGGGTAAAGATTTTGGTTAAATGAAGAAACACATGAAACTTGTCAACTTTTGTCTTAGGGTCAAGGGTGAAGTAGCAGTGCCCGTCAGATCATTTCGATATAAAGTTCCAAGTGGCACTGCAACTGTTATGGGTAGGCGTGTCACTCACCAAGCGCACGACTTGTGCTTCCCGTCATTTGAAATCATAAAAAAATAGTTTATGGCAGTTATGTGACACCAGAAATGATTTAGGCCATTTCAACTAGCACTGATGAATGGTTTACGAATATGTCGGCGCGGAACCATCCGGCCATTGTAAGTTGTCGTCGTCAGGACGCTCAGACATCACGAGATAAATGACTACACTATGCTCTGCAAGACTATGGAACGTATACTCAACAACCGTCTCCTGTCATACCTTGAAGACAATGACCTCCTCAGTGATCGCCAGTATGGATTCGGACGAGGACGATCTATGGGGGATCTTCTTGTGTATGCCTATCACATATGGAGCGAGGCTATAGAAAAGCAAGGCGAAGCACTTGCAGTGTCTTTGGACATTTCTAAAGCCTTTGACAGGGTCTGACACGCAAGCCTTTTAAGCAAGCTTCAAGATTTCTTGACTGAACGTTCCATTCGAGTGGTCTTAGAAGGCTACTCTTCCGAACATGTGGCGATAGATCCGTACTGTCTGCAACTCTCTTTCTGCTGCATATCAATGATATGTTAATTCCAGGTACCTTTGCGTATGCTGATGACAGCACAGTTGTAGACAGGTACTTGACCAATGCAAAGGTCAGCGGAGAGGAAATCCAGTCTTGTCGAGAGTCCATGGTTAACCGTTTAAATTTGACGCTCAAGGCAGTCTCCGATTGGGGCGATGGCAATCTTGTTGAATTTAACGCTACCAATACGCAGGCGTGTCTATTCTCCACTAAACAGAGTCCTTTTGAGCTAACTCCAACTTTTCGTGATATATCCATACCGATAGCCGACCATCTCCAGCTACTTGGAATGAACCTGTCGTCCAATCTGAACTTCGGCAGATACATTGAATCCATGGCCAAAAATGCAGCCAGGAAGCTTGGCATCCTTTTAAGGGTGAGGCGTTACTTCACACCGGGACTGTTACTTCAGCTGTATCAACCACAAGTCCGGTCGTGTATGGAGTACTGTTGCCACCTTTGGGATGGCTCTGCTACATATCAAGTGGCCACCTTGGATTCAATTGACAAGCGTGCTAAGAGGCTTATAGGTGACTCGGAACTAGTAGAGGCGAAGCTGCAGAGCCTTCAATACCGCCGTAAAGTTGCCTGCTTATCGGTATTTTATAAGATATATCACGGAGAGTGTGCGATGGACTTACACGATTTAATTCCGCATTCCCCTTTCCATCAACGGGGGACTAGGCGCAGGCTTGGCTTCCACCCCTATGTTGTGGATATTCCAAAGATTCGCACGAAGCGTTACGCTTCCACATTTATATGGCGAACGGCTATGGAGTGGAATTCTCTGCCTGCAGACTTGTTCCCTGAACGTTATAACTTGGGTCTTTTCAAGGCGAGAGTGAATAGGCATTATTTAAAGTGTGCATGCTCCATCGTCGACCTCATCGTCACTTTCCATCAGGTGAAATGGAGGTCAAATGCACAAATTTTCATTAGAATTGAAAAAAAAAATGAAATTACACTTTTACTTAAAACTTCTATTGCGAAACGGACACTCGCGTTAATATTAACAAAATAAATGCAATTCAGAGTAACTTTATTATTCAGTTACAGAGCCGAGGTTATAATCGCGGTTGTTACAAAAAAAGCGCGGAAAAACATTAACACAATTATTGCCATTCTTTTTGGCCGACCTCTGATTTGCGGAGTCGATTTTACGTCAATACAATATCTTTACGTTTTTGTTAACGTTTAATTTTAAAATAAAAGCTTGTTAAGAATAACAATATTACAAACATTATTTAACAATTTTACCATTAGGATTTTGCACGTTATTTTAGAAATATAATCATTTTAGTTAAATGAGATTTTATTATGTTCACACTACGATAGATGACAGCGCCCTGTTTGCATAAACACACCTTCTTGCAAATAGTTTATCTAAAGGAACACAGATGGCGTTTGTAAACGCGCCCATAAATATATTTACTCAATCCAGAAACTTATTCTCCCAACCCGTCTCCGAAAGCACAGATTAACCTTCACTAAACCTTTCTTAAGCTTGTGCTACTCCATCAGGGGCATTTTATTTGTTTCTCGGGTCACGGAACAAATTTCAAGACTTGATTGTATTTATGAAAACAAAGAATCTTCAAAAGATCAAGAAGAAAACATCATATACATTTTAGTCGAATAACATGTATTAATATTTCTATAGAACAATAACTTACACTTATTGACGACGATAAGCATGAATTTAAACGTCACAGTTTAACCCACCGGCGCAAAGTTGCCTGTCTGTCGGTAGGTTTTCTACAGAATTTTATTTCGGTGTATCTTTTACCATCGGACATCTAGACGTGCGGCGGGTTATCATCCTTACTTAGTCGATATTACTTTCAGGCGTACTAAGCGCTTTTCATCATCTTTCATTATACGCATAGCCCAAGAATGGATTTCTCTGCCTGCAACTGTATTTCCGACAACATACAACCCGATTATCTTTAAGGTGCGACTGAATAGGCATCTTTTGGACGAGTGACAACCCCCCTTAAAATATGTCCTGTGACTCAAGAGACAAATATTTGTACTGACAATATATATAATTTTCTATGAATTAGACCGCTTAAATTGTCACACCCTGTCTACCAATTGAAATACGGCTCTTCAATAAATCAAACCTTATTGCTTTCTTTCTTTTTTTTTCAAAAATAACAACTGTATCTTATCGGCAGAAAGGCCTTTGGTCTCGACGAGGTAAAAATGGCTGTACACGGCTGTAGTAAAGCAAACGATACTGAAGAAGTAGAACAACGGCCCAAGGCCGAAGTTGTCGACCATCGGGTTGAAGATGATGAGTGTCACAAAGTTGGTTATCCACATGCATGCCAACACCATACTGTTGCAGAGACCTCGAACCTGAAATCAGTACAAAATTATCAAAATTTAGCAAAAGAAGTCTATTCGATCAAAAGTTTTAAGATGTTTATTATGAACTTGTCTCTGTTCACAGTTTTATAACTTCAATAGGCTTGAACGTCAAACTCAAAGTATCTTGAATAATGAGCAACTCAAGAAGTGTTAATTATCGCAGTACTAGTATTTCATATTATGAACTGTAAACTATCCACTAACTGCTAAACATATACAGTCCTTCCAAAGGCATTATTGGCGTTGATTAGTGAAATTATAGGCAAATGGAACTTGTCAACTTATATCTCAAGACAACCGGCGCAGTGGCAGTGCCTCTCAGATCTTTGCGATTAAAAGTCTGAGTAGTCTGAGCAACAATTGTTGGTAGACGTGTCGCTTTCCACCTGGAACACGACTTGTTCTTCTCGTCGCTTGATATTACACAAAACAAAAAACGTTTTCCAGGTCTTCGTTTCAACTGTCTAAACTAAACGTGAGGCATCGTTCTACACGTGAACTCCACTCAGAACATTTTTATTGCGTAGTTGATTATCTGTGTTGAATATACAGATATGCTATTTATTATTTCCTTCTTTACTATCTTTACTAACCTCAGGCAAAAACATTTCAGCACTCATAATAAAAGGCACGGTAGCAGCTCCGAGGTTATATACAAAGCAGTAAGTGTAAATGAGAAATGCGGTAAACCAATACGGTCCATAGCCCAGGTGCAATTGTGATGCGAGTAAAATAGTACAGATTCCCGTTGCTATTGCTGATGATGTCATGAGGAACTGGAAAAGAGAATATTCTTAAAATTCATTACCGAATTATTCGTTATTACATAAATTTGAATATACTTTGCTCCAGACTTCAATGTTCTCGTCAAAATCGTACACTTTTTTTTTACTATTTTATAGTATTCCAAACAATCAATTGTTCTTACTCTTCTCCCAAATCTGTCGACTAACACAGCGCAAATTAAACCAGCTACAATTAAATCAACAGCTAGCAATATTGCACAAGTGTTTGGATGCATCGATGGTACAGCTTCTTTGAACAATGGTTCAGCGTAGACTTGTAGAACAATGGCTCCCATCATGATGTTTAGTGACATGATGATTAGGGCCATAGCTAGCGCTCTTTTGGAAGATTCGGATTTCACTGTAAGAAGGAAAAAAATATAAATAAAGTACGTAATTGCAACGAAGACGTGGAAAAAGTTATTGTTGTCTTAATATGATAAGCTGTACTTTACAAAATGACAAAGTGCTTCAACGGTCATGGTGGATTCTTACCTTTCGGCATGAACACATATGGTTGACATCACCATCCACAAAGAGCTATATGCGCTTATGCCAACGAAGGTATATCAAACTCTTTGAAGCATGGTAAAAAAACTTTTAATAGAAAATATGGTATTGTTTTCCTGGTAGGTAGAAGGGTTGGAATAACTATAGTTGCGGTACTTAAGTAACTCATCCACCGCTACTTATATATAATCTATCTAATATTACTTTAAGACCTATTTGTCTTGAAGTAATAAAGACCAATTCTATTTTTATTGGATGTCATTGTCATGACGAAGTTGGATGAAAAATTCTTTAGATCTGACTGGATTCAAACCAGCGTAAGTTGCCACGCGGGAGCTACCATTCTTGAGCGAGATCGGAGAGAATAGTCAATCAGATTGAGGGATTATATTATTAGGGAACTATGTACCATTAATATTGTAGTTAGCGTACAAAATAATAAACTTCATTTATTTACATTCGAACATCGAAATATATAACATACTTAGGAATTTCCATTGTGACACTTTCTCCGTTTCTTCGACGGGTTCAAATTTTTTCTCAAGCAATTCCTTTTCTTGTGGGTCTGGAAGATGGAATACAATTTTAACGAAAGGGTTTAATGCATTATATCTATATTTATATCAAAAAAATTATAAAACCTTTTCGGATTATGATACAAAAGCCAAAAAAACATTTTGACTACCTCATACTTTATCGTTGTATATCATAGTACTGATAATTTCTAGGAACCTTCGGACATTTTTCGTTCATTTGATGTCTTTCAGGTGAACTATCATCGTCTCGTATGATGTTAGTGTTTTATTATTTTAAATAAATATCCTTAAATCATTATCTTTTTTGCTATCGCCATTAATAGATTTAAGAAAATATTTACTCTCAGCCTCTCCGTGCAGGATCTCATCAATTCTCGGGTCTAATTGCAATTTTATTCTCTGTATCTCGACTTCAACTTCTTTGGCCGTCACTTCGACTCTTCTGTAAAAGGCTATTGACTGTTTTGCTTCCTGAAAATAATATCGTTAGCTTTATGATTACCTGGTGATCTAATAACGATATTAGAAGAAGAAGAAATGTTTATTAATGTTAATAAGTTTAAGTTTGTCTTATAATTTCATATACACATCTCTTTTCGGTTATCCACTTCCATCAGAAATTTGATACGCTCTCACTCTCGTTTCTCTCAACGTTCGCTTTTCATATTTATGTCGCCACTTTGTTCATTCAATCTTTGTATATGATCAGACTATAGAAGCATTCCCTTTCCTATTCCAGCTTTCTTTTTATTACATTGTTCTTCGTTGTGTTTCTAAGACGTACAGAACCGCTCTATGCTCCCTTTCTACATAATTAACCCTACTTTGAGGCTCTTTTTGCGCTACCCAACATTTAATAAATCAAGGTTGGGAACAGCTTAACAGTCCAATGTTCTTTTTATATATTCTGACTATGCATGAAGGCAATCATAAAATTGTGACAATCGCATTGCAGGCATTTACTAGATCTGAAACCGTAACCACTAAAATAGCACCTTACCTCCTCTCTCCCCTTCTGTACCAAATAAACTGGTGATTCCTTTAACAAGCCCAGTGCAGCAATATATAAACAAGAGCCCGTTAAATGTACGTATAAAACTTGCTGATACGTTAAGTATCCTCCTGTAAAATTAATTAATTATAAATATATGACTGTTTATTTAGTTCTCTTCAAAATGCATGGAAATATGTGTAAAATAGGCGCTTAGACGTCTAGTTGTCTAGTCACACCATACCATAGCATTAATAAATATATGTTTCTAGATCTTAAGAAAATTAAATTATAACAAATAGCTTTCGGACAATGTTTCGAATGTTTGGAATTGTAGCACTAGAACAAATTACTTCGAAATTGTGTACCATGTCGAAGGTCAAATTTCTGGTAGATACGAGAGGTTCGATAAGCTTATTGCACACCATAAGAAATAAAACGCTAAGTACACGTGTGTATGTACCAGATTTGAATAATGAAGTCAATTTTCCATTATACACACCTATTATATAAGAAAATAATAACCCAGTAAAGTATATCGTCACACAGGATGATGTTAACATTCCTCTTATCGAGTCTTGTACAATTTCTGCAATATAGACTGCAGAAACTACTTGGCCAGCCGCACCAAAGCCAGTTATTCCAATTGCGATGATAATAATTGGTGTGTAGTTTGTTAAAGATATTATTAACCAGCCTATCTGAAAAAGAGAGGAGAAGTTATCTTTTAATATTAAGGACGCTGTTATAGAACACAGTCCCACGACAATGCTCCTACTTTAAGTAGCAACAGTATACTTTTTACTAACCATAATTTAAACTGAAAAACACGACAACAGAAATGTCTAATCGTTTCCATGTAATACATCAAAATAGTCAAGGATTTTCTGGCAAAACATTAGAAATATATTGTCTCTTTTTACACGATATTTCCGTTGACATGTATTGTGTTACAGGACAGTGGTTGAAAGACTACGAAGCAATTAACAACATACAAAATTATGTAATACTATTATGTATGTCAGTTCATTCATAAAAAAGAATTTAAGTAGAGGCGGATCTATGATTATTATTAAACGTAATTTAAAATTTAAAGAGCGTAATCATAGACCACAGATCTTTCTTCTGAACGAACTATTGAGATTTTATATGTGAAATTGGATCAGTTTGTCGTCTTATGTGTATACAGGCCCCCTTCTGCTAATTTTAACAAGTTTGAATTCATTATGGAAAATAGTTTAAAGCGGATTTTTCCAACAAAAGAAAAACGTAGTAATATGGGAAGATTTCAATGTAAACCTGTTGGAAAACTGTTCTACTTCTGTAAGACTCATTAATTTATTTAAAAGCTTTAACATGATCAATCTTTTCTTAGAACCAACTCGCATCACTGCCTCCTCTTCTACTTGTATCGACAACATCCTTTGTAACACAGACGCAGTGTCTAAATCAATAATAAATTGCTTAAGACAGACCATAATGGCCAATTGGCTTCTTCTAATCGTAAAATGAGCAATAAGGTAGACCGATTTCTCTGCAGACCGATTACCACAGAACGAATCATTAGATTTCAAAATAATATCGGCAATAGTTTAAATTCCCTACCCCATATACCGTAAGTTCCAAATACTTTATATAGCACGATATTTGGTTTAATTAAAAATGAATTTGCTAATATATTTAAATCGAAAACATTAACTTTCCATAGAGAGACTAAATTCAACGACTGGGCAATAGTAGGTATTCATAAGAGTAGGTCTCGTTTGTATGAGCTATATGCTATGAAAACTTATAATACTAATTCCAATTTCATAGAATATGTTAGAATTTATTCAAAAATATTTAAAAAAGTATGTGTAGCTGCTCACATGACGACAAAATTAGACAATTGATAAATAAATGTAAAACTACTTGGAGCATAATAAATAAAGAGTCAGGCAAGGTTAAACAATACGATAGAGATATAGTTTTATAATTCGGCGGCAAACTTATAAAACCTAAAGACAAGGTAGCCCATTTGTGGCAGTTTATTTAATTTGCGTTATGTTAATCCACAAAACATCACGAAAGCTTTTAAATCAATACATGTTAAAAAAAAACTGAAGATCTCTGGAATCTGAATATCCTGTAGCGAAATGGGTGGACGATATTGTCAAATTTGCTGTTCATAGATAGTTGTCTTGGGATTAGCACGGTATCATGATCGATGGCATATACTACTGAAAGCCAAAACTCAGCAGTGGGTAGATGGTAATGATGACAAAACTTCGGAAAGTTTCTAGAATTTGAAATTTTTTTTTAAACAAAAAAGAAACTGAGAATTTTAACAAAGTCAATCATTTGTTTATCCTAAACAAACTTTTCACGTGTTAGGTAGTACGTGGCATAATCTTTTATGCAGAGGTATTTTATGACAGTTCCTCAGTCAGTGCTCAGTTACTATGATCAAAAGTTTAAATCTCATATATACAACCAATTACAATATACAAATATACAACTTCATTCTTTATAGCACACAGTCTAAACAGAAATGTCAAGGCTTCAATATTGCACCTTGGAGAACGCAGTGTTCAATTTCTATACATTCTTATTTAGAATCGTACATATTGTCAGTCTTGCCTCCCGGTGAAGAATATCAACGTAGTGTACTATTTGTGTTTCCTTCTTTTGCATTAAGTAAAAAATGGAGGCCTCTGTGTCTTTACAACATTTAAAGATACCAACAAGCAAAATTGAAGTTATCAGTCGTTGTTATCTATGACATGTGGTGAAATGTGAGAGGTTAATATTTATTAGCAAGTATTTAACCGCACTATAAACGATTTGTTCACTGATTTTATAAAGTATTAAAAGTTAAGGCGCCAGTTGCGACCCTTAAGAACTCCATATTAATTTAATTCACATGAAGTTACTTACAACCATAGGCAATCCAAACAGCATAGCCGAATACCGCCTTCCAATCATGTTTAGGAGAATTCCACACATAGGAGTCATAAATAAAGCACCAATGTTTGTTAGACTCCCAACTAGCGATTTTTCGAAAGTTGTCAGAGGCCACGATAAAACGGTGCTGTTAGATTCGAAGTTTTCGATGTTGTACGATGGCCAGGCGTAGACGAACCCTGTGAGGGCTACGAGGCTTGATACTGAAAACCGATTTTATTGGTTATATATGAAACACATCTTTGTAGCTACTAGAAGCTGACGAGAGATGTTGCTGTATTAATTGCAATATTTGTTTTCAGGCATGACGACTGACGCTACTTCGAGGTCCGACAGATTGTAGGAATTTTTCTTTGTGTTCGATCTTTGTATCAATAATAATAACAAACTAGTGTAGTATTTTCACAAAAAATAAATTAATCATAATAACTTTTTATTAAAAAAACCTCAAAATTTCGTGGAATTACATCTATTTGCCAAGTTATTGAAATCGGTTACCGGAGAGTGGGCGAAACCGGATTCATCCCCTAGTTTACCACCCTTAGAGGTGGAAAATCGGTTCACATATACCCGGAGTTATCGCGTAACATGCATACAAAAAAAACTACAGTGGAATTGAGAATATCTCCTCTTTTTTTGAAGTTGGTTGAAAACATCATGATATTCAATAAATAAATATTGCAATCATCACAGCGACATCTCTCGTCAGCTTTTGGTAGCAGTAAAGCTAAGTGACTAACTTCATAAAGTTTCTCATAGGTACGCTGAAGAAGAAAAAAGTCCTTAAACCCTATCGACTGTGAACTGGCAACTGGTACTATCTCAATTTTGACAACTTTACACGATGAAGAAAAGAAATTTTTTGCATCATTTATATAGCATCTGGTTTATTAAACAAAAGTACGTAGTGTATGTGTAATAAAAATATTTAAAAACTACGTATTTTTTGGATAAACCTACACATTCAATGAAGTTTCACAAACCCCAGGTCCTTGCAAAAGAAGTCCGTTATCTACCCAAGATGCTGCGAGGTCATTGAAATTAAAAAACATCCTAATTTCAACAGGGAAGATGGTTTCTCCGTACCACCAGTTTCAGCAGTGCAGAAAAATCCCAAACAGACATAAGACTGCAGTACTAATTAATATGTTTTAGTTTATTCTAATTTCTATTAATAATTAATAATGAATTAAACTTAACAAAAATTCATTCAATAAAATAATTTGTAAATCTTAATGTAGCGTAAATTGGAATGTTTTCTTTGTAAAATTAAAAATAAGGTATTTAATTAACAACTATTGTAACTATAGTGAAAAAATAGGGTGGTTTGCATTAACATTAGACATAACTGGTTGAAGATTGTACCACCTCAGTCAACCGTGACCGTGGGACCTGTAAAGGGCCCGAAACGTCGGTTTGTTTGAAAACACAAATATACGCGATTTAAATCCGGAAAAATAGTTTCATTTCCTACGTATTTTTATTTAATAAATCAGATGCTATACAAATGTCGCAAACAATTTCTTTTTCACCCGTAAAATTGTCAAAATTGAAATAGTACCGATTGCCAGTTCATAGTCGCTATGCTAATTTGTAACAAACACATAGAGAAATTCGTAAGATCTAAGTACGGTGGCCACGGCATGGCAACACACAGCGGTTAAAATCCAGTCAGATTGCAGGAATTTTTCTTTATGTTCGGTCTTTGTATTAATAACAATAAGAAATATACAGAGCAAAAAAACATCGTGGTACGTTTCAAATTTAATAAGTAGCAATATAGAGCTCCTTGTGAAAGATTTCGTGGAATGGAAGTATAGAAGTGGCATTACTTATTTCTGCCGCCAATAATAATGTGAACATTGTTTTTGGTGCCTTCAGCTAAAAATAATGTGCCTCACACTCTCATACGTTTATGCAGGCAGTATAATGTTTCATTCAAAGATCTTGATGTATTCCACCAGAGTACCAACACATTTGTAAATATTATAAAAAGCCCGGTCTGCACCGGAGGCACGTGACCACATCACAAAGTGAAGTAATTTTATATAAAGTATACACATTTTCTATTGACTTAGCCATATGGCTAATTAATATTCATTAATTTTTAATACAAAGATTGAACACTTAGAAAAAAATAATTCTATCCGGTCGGATTTGAACCGACGTCTTTTAGCAAACCGTGTCACACGCTATGCCAACTAAGCCACGGAAGGAACCAGCGAACCTCACGAATTTTTCTATGTGCTTGTTGTCGGGTCTTTGTTTTATTTTTCAGCGACTATTTAGCATATTTTTTTAACATATTCATTAAGTTTCAAAATGTTATTTGCAATTTGTTTATTTTTGTTTAATTAAACTATGAACTTTTACTTGGCAGTGAGATTTAAAGCTCTGTGTGGCAACGCAACCGTTATGGACAGACGTGTCGCTTACCACCAGGCGCATGTTCATCCCGTTAATTGGTATTATAAAAAACATGTTAAATAATGCAATGTGTCAAATAATAATTTTAATTAAAAAGCGCAAAAGTTCTGTTAAAACCACAGACGAGAATAGTTTGGTTTTAAATGGAGTGCTAACCAGTATGAGTAATACATGTTATGAATGTATATCGATTTACAAAAAAAACGCTTTTTTACTTACTTGCCAGAGTACATATTACTTGCATAAAAAACGCGGCAACGGTAACTTTTTCCGCCATAGTTAAATTTAAAAAAAAACGTTATGCTACTGTAACACCTACTTTTACACAACACTAAATGCACCTTGACGAATTTTAACATTTATAATTCATAATAATGTCTTTGAGTTTATATATAAAGTTTATTAGTTGGATCAAGCGCGAAGAGATAAGGCAAGAGCCTCTGTTATCAGGTACACAGACGTCTTTATTAATAGAACATATTTATTGCCAGAAGGAGTCTGACGTAGCTATCCAACAGGACCTAATGGTATAATGAGAGCTCTCAATGTATTTCTGTATGTCGCTGTACATACATTTGAATTGGATAATGTGCATAATGTCTGGAGATGTACTCATTGTTGGAAGTAAAAGACTCGACGGGTTTTGCAAGTTTGTGCCTAGCTCGGTGTTATAGAGATGTGGTACGTATTGAGAGATGTGATACGTACGTATATACGAAAATACTGAGATATCATCATCATTATATCAGCCGGAAGATGTCCACTGCTGAACATAGGCCTCCCCCAAAGATTGCCAGACTAGCCAGTCGGACGCGACTCAATCGGCTACCCGCCGCCCTTACCAGGTCATCCGTCATCTAGTAGGGGGCCGTCTCACGAACGCCTTCCGGTTCGTGGTCTCCTTTCAAGAACCTTTCTGCCCCAACGGCCGTCAGTTCTACGAGCCACTTCTTGCCAGTCCTTTGAGCTATGTCGGTGACTTTCGTTCTTCTACGGATCTCCTCACTTCTGATTCGATCACGTATAGAAATGCCTGTAGTAAATGTATGTAGTTTACTACTGAGGTATATTAGAAGGAAATCATGGGCAAATACATTTTTGCAATAGCGTGGCTCTTCTATGTTACGAGGTGTCTTTGATATTTTGTTATATTCTTTAATATATATTCTATAATGTTTGCTACTCATATTGTTTTATGAAGATTATTGAATATCACAATGTTTCATAGACTGGATTCGAACCAGCGTCTTGAGCATACCAGGCAAATACATATTGCTTTTTAATGGACTTTTTAAACAAGTACATGGGTGGAGTTAACATCACAAAACACCAAAGTACTTCATATCCTTTTTTATTACATTTCAATAAGTATAAAAAAAAAACAATAATCTCACCACTGATGAGACGGCAGGTCATGATATTTTTAGATGACGAATATTAATATACCTTAAAGTAGTAACATTATATTCGCAATTTCAATTGTAATAGTCATAGCTACAAAAACAAAGCGGCGGGGGGTAAGCTTATTGATATCAAACCGGCAGCCTTCTTGAAGTTTCGGCAGTCTTCTGAAGGTAATTCGCCCTTAATATTGTTATTCTTGGAATATGGTTCTCTCGTTCTTCTGGTACTGGTAATAAACCAGCTTGCAACGTTACGACCGTACGCTTCGGCATGCCTAAGGATACCGCGGTATAATTACCCTCAGTTTTGCACTGCATGTAAGAATGTCGAAGGTTCCCTTGCCATAAAATCTAGCCAATGGGCGCTTGGCCCAAAAATCATAGTTTAAAGCCCATAAAGTTGCCTGTCGGACAAAATCCTACAGATTATATTTCGGTGAGCGTGCCCATGAGTTGCACCAATTCGTCCTGTCTGCTCCCTTTTTACTCAATTGACATTTGGTTTTTCGTCATCCTTTAAATGGAATCCCTGCCAGTGTCGGTGTTTCCGAGTACACACAACCCGAATATCTTTAAAATGCGATTGAATAGACGAATTCTAGGTGAGATCGTTCCATCGATTAGCGGTCAAGAGTCCATTATAAAAATAATGATGAGTCAATATATCTTTTCTGATCCTTTGTATTCGTACTCCGGTAGTTGCATAAAATCAATAAATAGTTACTTGTTAAAAAATTTGGTTGTGTAGATATAAAATAAAACTATTAAGTGACAAGATTTAGTTCCACCCTCGCCGTTTCTTCTTCGTCACACTCCGTCCTTATATCGTTGACGCACTTCCTCCTTTTTGATGCGTACGACAAGTTAATGTAATATAACGCTTTAAATGTTTCACGATAAATACAATTTAGGGCTATTCAAGGCTAGAGTGAATAGGTATTTTTTAAGCAAATCCTTACCATCGTCGGTCACATCGTCGCTTAAGACCAGGTGAGATTGTAGCCAAGTGTCTTTTTTTATAATATCGAGTGACGGAACGTTCGAGCCGTGCGCCTGATGGTTAGCTACACGCCTGTTCATAACAGTTACAGAGCCATTCAAGAGCTTTAAATCACAAAGATCTGAGGGGCTAGCAGTGCCCCTGCACTCGTCACCTTGAAACATAAGTTGCCAAGTCCCATGTGCTTGTAATTTTACTAGCACCCTTACCTTTAAAAACCGGAATGTAGTAATGCTAACATTACTGCTTGGCAGCAGAAATAGGTAAGGTGGCAGTACTTCCCTGGACGAAATCTTTCACAAGGAGCTCTACTGCTGCTAAATTATTTATAGAAAAAAATAAGAGACTTCAGCTTGTGCCACTTGTGACCAATTGCGTCAACAAAAGCTCGACTCTGCGAGGCCCAACAGCATAGCTCTCGTGAACTGTTTGGATTTACAGGTAAGACAGCTGTCACCCTCATTGACTAGGTATATTTCGTAGAAACGGACTCCCCTCTCCCTATAAAAATAACTGCAACATATAAAATAACATTTGTTTTCTTTTTATTTTCTAAAGTCTTTCTGATTGATAGTGAAGAATGATATTATTATTATTATTAAAACAAAAATTCACGAACCTTATAGACCGAATCAGCAGATCTTTCTAATTTCTCTAAATTTTGGTTACTGACCTTTGTATTGGTTTTTAATGGATTTTTTACCACCAACGCCACCTGTGAGAAGTTAATGAATTTCTTATTTCAGTCTTTATAACTACCAGATACTGACGACAGATGTCGTTGTATTAGGTAATTGCAATTTTTATTTATTGAATATCATAATGATTTAGTATATGGAAGAGTTGTACTATGTACAAGGTATTGAACAACTTATGTTACTTCAAACGAACTGCCGGGGCCATCGCTCTTGGCAGCAGCAAAAATAAGAAACTAATGGAATATTTACACTAAAAATTCAATAAATAAATGCTGAACATACCAAATGTTTAATTTTTCATGCAATCATTTACAACGGGAGAAAAAAATTAAATCTTATTTCAAACATTAAGAGATAAAAAGTCTCATGTTAGTTAATACAGAGCCCATAAAGATACACGCAGACTTATATATTTAAGTAAATGTTTATTTATTGTTAAGAACACGTGAGTTTTGTGAAGTTAGAATAAGTCATAAAAATAAGAAAAATACATAATAATTAAAATACTTCCCGGTGGCATGGGTCTTAGCCAGATAGCAACCTGCCTTAAAAATGAATTTGACAATATATTTAAATCGAAAACATTAACTTTCCATAGAGAGACTAAATTCAACGACTGGGCAACAGTAGGTATTCATAAGAGTAGGTCTCGTTTGTATGAGCTATATGCTATGAAAACTTATAATACTAATTCCAATTTCATAGAATATGTTAGAATTTATTCGAAAATATTTAAAAAGTTTGTGTAGCTGCTAAGGTTAAGTTTCACAGCGACAAAATTAGACAATCGATAAATAAATCTAAAATTACTTGGAGCATAATAAATAAAGAGTCAGGCAGGGTTAAACTACACGATAGAGATATAGTTTTAGAATTAGACAGCAAACTTATAAAATCTAAAGATAAAGTAGCCCAAGCTTTTGAATCGTTCTTTTCGGAAATTGCTGTGAACACTACAAAATCATTAAATTCCTCCCCTTCACTTGCTATTGATCTCCTAAAGGAAAATGTTAACGTTTGTGGCAGTTTATTTAATTTTCGTCATGTTAATCCACAAGACATCATAAAAGCTTTTAAGTCAATACATGTTAAAAAAACTGAAGATCTCTGGGGCATATCAACTAAAGTTATAGACTCAGTTATTAATCTCATTTCCCCACAGTTAGCTGTAGCTTTCAATAGGTGCGTTGACGAAGGTGTTTTTCCCGATTTAATGAAATACAGCAAGGTTATTCCCTTATTCAAAAGCGGTAGGAAAGTTGATCCTAGCAATTATAGGCCCATTTCAATTTTACCAGCTTTAAGTAAAATATTCGAAAAGGTTATGCTAACTCAATTACTGTCCTATTTCGGTAGGAATCATATTTTTCATAGTGAACAATACGGGTTTACTAGTGGTAGATCGACTAGCGATGCGGGGGTAGCGTTACTAAAACACATCTTTGATGCTTGGGAAAGGTCCCAGAACGCTATTGGTGTTTTCTGTGACCTCTCAAAGGCATTTGATTGCGTTGATCATAATACTCTTATTAGTAAGCTGGAACATTACGGTGTAAATGGCAAGGCGTCGAAACTTGTCTCGTCATATCTCAACGGTAGAATTCAGAAAGTAGGCATAAATGGAGCGACTTCTTTGGGTTCTCCAGTAAAAATGGGTGTTCCGCAGGGCTCAATACTTGGACCTTTCTTATTTCTGATTTATATTAATGATCTGCCATTCTTTGTTAAGGACCATTGCGAAATAGTGTTGTTTGCTGATGACACATCCTTGATTTTTAAAACAGACAGACATGACATTGACTATGACCGTATTAATGATACCCTCTCTAAAGTAGTTTATTGGTTTAATGCTAACAATTTATTGCTTAATGCCAAGAAGACAAAATGTGTTAAATTTGAATTACCTAACGTAAAATCGACTAGTCCAAGCATAGAAATAAACGGAGAAAAGTTAGACCTTGTTAATAAAGCAGTCTTCTTGGGAGTGACCTTAGATAGTAAACTTCAGTGGTTTCCACATATATCGTCCCTGGCCAGCAGATTAAGCTCCGCTGCATACGCAGTCCGCAGAATACGTGAGCTTACCGATGTTAGTACTGCTACACTAGTTTATTTTAGTTACTTCCATAGTATAATGTCCTACGGGATTCTCATGTGGGGTAAAGCGGCAGATATTCAAACCATATTTGTATTGCAAAAACGAGCAATTCGTTCTGTGTACCGTCTAGGCTCTCGGGTATCTCTCAGAGAAAAGTTTAAGGAGACTGGTATCATGACTGTGGCATCACAGTACATTTACTCAAATATTTTATATGCCCGTAAAAATATACATAATTTCAATAAGAAAGAAGATATCCATAATATTAACCTTAGAGCTAAGTCCAAACTCATGGTACCACGATTTCGTTTAACCAAGGTAAACAACTCTTTTATGGGGAACTGTATACGTTTTTACAATAAGATTCCGGAGCATATATTAAGTTTATCATTTCCTAAGTTTAAAAAGTACATTAAAAATATTTTGATCGAAAAAGCATATTACAAAATTGAAGACTACGTGTTAGATAAAGACATGGCTCCAGACGACATGGCTCCAGAATCCACACAAATTTGATTCAAAATGTATTCCATAGCATTTAAGTTTATTTGAAAAGAGCAATCCCTAGAGTTTCTTGCTCGTTCTTCTCAGGGAGGTCAGCGTAGTGAACGAGCAGTACCTTAAATGTGACGTTTTCAAGTGTAAATTTATTTTACCTATGGAATAAATCATCTTTGACTTTGACTTTGACTTGCCTAAATTTCCTCTTTCAACATAATATGATTCATAAACACATAGATTTAAAAAAAAATAACGCAGAGAGTCAAGATCGGTTGCAATTTGCGATCGATCATGCTGCTGGTCGATATCACGTAGTCATCTAAACAAGAGGGCACGGACCATCTATTATGCTGCATACATTGACTTACAATTATATGGACGTCGGGTCCGCGCTAAAAAGTGTCCGAACTTATAGGGCGTTAAAACCGTATACAGAGCGTCATTCACGCTTTAGTCTTCGTTTGTTTCTTCTGACAGCGAAGCAAGCAAAATTAGACAGTACTGCGATGACATTACAATTTAAATTCAACGTTTTAGCTTTTTCATATTCCTTTACATGTCACTACGTTTAAATAGGTTGACTTGGGACATTTTTTTCGTGGTTTTTGTATTAAACCCGTCGTCCATTTATATGTAAGTCAATGGCTGCATATGTCAGTCTCCCTACCGGTCAGTCATACATAGCCAGACGGTTTTCTCTTTCCGGTTTGGGCGCGCTTCACCGATAATATCATGCGCTCTGTCCTTCAAGGATTTAGGTTTTCATTATATCAAGTGACGGGATGAACAAGTCATAGGTCTGGTTATAATTACAGTTGCTATTGCTAGACGTAGCTTAACTCACAAAATTCTAAGAGGTACTGCCATTGCGACCACCACCCTGAGACATAAAGTTGACAAGTCCCATGTGCTTATAGTTTCACCAAAACTGGAACACAGCATTAATGCTTCGCGACAGAAATAGGTAAGGTACTTCCTTCGACGAACTCTTTCACAAGGAGATCTAATGCGACTAAAGTATGGGTCGGGCAAAGGCGTGAGACGCCACATGTGCGGACACGCTTGACCTATCCAATCTCTAGCATACCAGCAAGAGGGCTGACTGCGCAGCTGAGCTGGCGGAAAGAATAATAAACCAGGATTTACAGCCCTTCATCTGTACAAAATTGCCAATTGGAGGAACGCTGCCAGCACATTGAGCACCTTGCCGCATGGATCCAATTTTATTTATATAATTTAATCCTAGTTTTACTTTCTAGTATTTAAGCTTTTATTGTACCTTACCTGTATATTGTGGGACTATAGTAATACTAATATATTGCCATTTACTTTATCAGTACAGTAATTAATTGTCATTTAGGTGTATAAGACAAATCCGAAAGCTGATGATTCAAAAGGGGGACCCATTATTACAGTCAAACATTCTTAGTAGCAGTACAGCTCCTTGTGAAAAAGTTCGTCCAGGAAAGTATTGCCACCTTATCAACTTCTTCATCAACAAATTTTGTCAGTTCCGTTATTTTTATAAAATACGTTTTATTATTTTACAATTTAGAGCCATGCATCTATTTCCCTTTCCTTAGACACTACTGTATCCTTACCCCATTGCAGTCCGTCCTACAGTTTCCAATGCGAATACCATGTTTATTTGTCTTTATTTAAAATCAATTTTCTTGCTACACTCTTGTCAATGTAATAAATGTCATTCTGCTCTCTCAGAAGCTTTTGCTTCACTTGCCTACACGATGTGGAACCTATTTTATTTCTGTTTCATTACTTCAACATTGCACCAATATCTATTTAAAATAACTATAGTGCGATTTCGAATGAATATACGTTACATTAAGTATGTGCGCTTATTATGTATTTATTATCTGTCTAAATAAAACCTATTTCATCATTAAACTATTTTTAAGCGAGATAATGGCTTATTTTTATCTTGTGCTGTTTAAGAAATTTTTTGACGCCTAGTGTGGCGATCTCAAGGAATGAAGATCAAAAATAATACATCTATTAACAGGAAAATAAAAGGAATTGACACGTTTTTTAAGAAATATCATTTTATTATATTTTTTTATTGAGCCGCCTGAAAGGAGACCCGTGCCCAGCAGTGGGACGCATAAATTGGGTTGATGATGATAATAATTTTTTACATTTATGATTTTTTCTAATGCTACTATGTACAGAAGTTCTAATTTAGGCTTTCTCTATTTCTTATGTAAACTCTACAACGTAGTTTGATCTTACAATATTCATTCTTACATAAAGTCAAAAACAATTGAGTGATAAGCGAAGTTGGAATTAAAATTACTATTTTATAAGCAGTATATTGGCAGTGTCGATATTATTTAAATCTAGCATGATACTGGTATTCTATCTATAAATTACAAAGCTTTTATCTTAAATTATTATTTAAGTTACGTGACAAAATGATAAATAATAAAGAAAAATATCGCTGTGAAAACGAAAAGGAAGACGAAAAGGGACGATTTTGCTCAGTAGAACAGGGCTAAGAAAATAATATAAATAAAGATAATTTGAGAGATATCTTACAGTTAAGGGAGTATGTATAATAGTAAATAGGTATTCATAAAGTAGGTAAAAATATTACACGCTTTGTTCAAATAGAGCTAACAAAACAAAACGAAAGAAACCTTTATCACAATGTCACAAAACTTGAAACAAAACTTAAATTTTAACTGAAGAAATATCCTTCAAACTCGATCTTAATAATGATGGCAGTATAATATCATTTACTATAATCTAATATTACGCAATCTTAGAAGCACGGGATCGTTGCCAACAGTATGAAACCAGAAGGCTACTCATCAAAGATCCGACAAGTACTAAAATCCCGCCCCACAAAGCAGCGGAAGGTGACATGCAGAAACCGTTATTGTTCTCAGACGGTAAGTCCTCCGCGAACACCACTCTTAAACCTTTTCCAATTGTTGTGACAGGCTCCGCAGTTCTATTGCCTAAGTGAATAATATCTCGTCTTTTCCTTCTAGGTTCTATGCTGCCAGGATTGGGACATACCTCACAATCAGTTTTACACAGCTCAACATCACATTGGATAATCAAATCCATTTCATCAGGGAATTTAAAGGCGTTGAAGAATGCATAGGCGATTATTGAAGCTCCTGTATTTCCTGTTTCTCTAGTTTTCTGGAACGCACCGAAAAGTTTAGGTTTCAGTACACAACCATTGCTATCAGTCAATGGAACTACATGACGCATTTCAGAATCTCTTGCAATACATTCACGAACAAAAATATCAAAGCCTGGGTCACCAGTTACAGTGACGACCAATGTCATGATTTCTCCGATTTTGACGAGACCATTGGCTTCGCGTGCGAATGGACCTCGTCCCATTTGGATGTCCAATCGAGCCATTGCAGTATCACCACTAAAGTTACTTGTAATTTGATTCAGCATTCCTACGCTCAATGATGATACTAGTTGTTTTGTAAGATTCCCTTCCCACAAACATCTAACTCTTCTAATATGATCCCACACTTCTTGGATACCAGGTTCGTTTTGCAATACCAAAACATTTTCTAAATACGCTTGTCCTTCGTTCTCAAAATCGCTGTAAAATCTTGTTCCGCAAGTATTTAAACTCACTGTGAAAGAATATTTCACTTGGTTTGAATTCTCTCTAACGTAAACGCATTCGGGTTCGTTGTAATGATCTTGAGAATAAATGATTCCGTTATAAACTTTATTGAATTCTATGTTAATTGTCATCATTTCTTTGCCACAGTCAACAGTGATAGCGTGTATATGGGGAGGATGGCGGTCGTCGTCATCACCTGAAGTTCCTTGAGTCACGGTATTAGATGATTCAGTTTCGCCTGTAGGTCGGTAAGGTGGTAGAGTATCGATGTCAGGGGTACTTGGTTGACTAGGTTGGTATGGCGGAAACGTCGGCTGACTAGGTTTGTAGCTTGGCTGAGATGGTTGGTATGACGGCTCGTCGGGTTGGTAGGACGGCTGATCTGGTTGGTAAGTTGGCGGCTGGCTTGGTTGACTTGGTCGGTAAGTCGGCTGCACCGTTGGTGGGCTTGGGTATGTCCCACTTGGTTGGCTAGGTTGGTATGTTGGTGGTTGACTAGGTTGATAAGGTGGTTGAGTTGGTTGACTGGGAGGATAACCTGGGAATGGTTGGTAAGTTGGTGTTTGGGGTTGATAAGGTTGATCTGGTTGGGATGGTTGGTAGGGTGGTTGGGTGGGACTCGATTGGAAGGGTGGTTGAGAGGGACTGGGTTGGTAAGGTGGTTGAGAAGGGCTAGGTTGGTAAGGTGGCTGGGATGGACTGGGTTGGTAAGGTGGATTGGTAGGTGCGGGTCCTTCACTGTAAGATGGCGTAGGGCGAGAACCTGCTGGTGGATAACCAGTTGCTGGCGGTAAATAACTTGCAGGTTCGAAAGGTCTTGGCTTCTCAGGTTTTCCTCCAAAGTATTGGCGAGCTGAAAATATAAAAAGAACAAATTAATTTCTTAAAAAGACATTCAGATTTATTTCGATATGATAATGATTAGAAATTCATAAGATTAGAAATGCATAAATCTACGTGCTAGTGTGGGAAAGATACCTTTCCTAGTCTTCTGTTGATATAAATTTTGTATCCAATGAAGCAGGTTGTGCACCATCTCATCCACCTCTGCTTGCTGACCAGGATTGAGGTCCGCTGGAAATCAGGACTGCATGAGGAAGATCATCGATAACGATGAAAGAATTAAGAAACCTTCACCAGGTTCGGTTTGTAGTAAATGAAGAAGTTAGAAAATGTTTTTAAGTAAAGTGAAGACGAAAGAGAACACAAGAACAAGTCGAAACTATACAAAAGGTAAAAGACATGCAATGGACACTTTGATTGTTACATGAAAGAATATGCATACATTTTTAGTGTGATAAAAGTATAGTATACGTACGAAGACGTGAGTAAGGTACATGCTATAAAGTTAAAAAGAGAAATTCGGAAAGATGACAACAACTAACAATAATATACAATAACAAACAGACCAAAGGATATAATGCAGATACTCCGGTTACAAGCAGAGGCCTAGTTAAGAATTTTCATTAAAATCGATATAAGATAACATGAGTTTTAGTGACTGCTAGCAATATTATCTATAACACCTAATTTTCCAGATGTACCAATACGTAAAACAAATATTCCTTTGAAACTTAAAACATATTAATAGAGTAATTGGAAAGAAAGTAAAAATTTTAAAGGAAACAAACTACTTTTTACAAAGAAGAAGAGATTTGTAAGATGTTTGTAAGTAGTTATTGTACAATAGTACAGTGTGGTTGTAAAAATAAATAGATAAAGGGATTAGTCATAAATATTTATACAATTTGCATAAATTCAAACATAGGTGGAAAAATTACAAACAATTATAAAACGTAAACGAAATTGACATAAAGTGGTACAAGATGTTGCAACGTCTTAAACGTAAATGAGTTTCTAAATGTATCTATGTGAAATTGTATTGAGATAAAGCTAATGTCTATACTGAATAAGCTAGATAGATAAGCAAACGTATACATATATTTATTCAAGGACCGTAACATAGCAAACAATACATCCTAGAGCTAAACAGATTTGTACGGATCTAGAATATCAGAACTCGAGGTATTCTTCACTACAATTGCAATCTTTTGCAATTTAGTATTAAAGTCCAATTCAATCACGCCTAAAAATATAACTGAAAAATTTAAGATGGCATAGCGTAGTATCACTACCAGATTATTGTTGCAAACTATTGGATAAGTGTAGTTGGATGTAACGACGTCAACTAACGAAGGAGGTATTTAATAGAAGGTAGAAGAAGAGGAAATACTATAAAAAAAACTGTGGAATGAAATTATACTACTTTTAGATATTGTATCAGTAGTAGTAAAAAAATAGTAGCAGAGAAAAGAAGTAGCAGGAGAAAATATTGATGGGCTATCTAGCGGCAACTACAAGCTAAAACCGGACTTGCTGACTTCGAGGTGAAAATTTGAGGAAATATCAAATGCAGGCGGCCATGTGCGGTTTTAGATATGTTATTCGAAAACTATATAACACCAGGTACTTTTTCTTTTATAAAAAGCACGTCGCAGGAAAATTCTTGAAGTAGTACAATCGAATAAGGTAAAAAACTAATAGGGCAGTGAAAATTGTCACTCTGTTGCTTCTTTTCTTCGCAGAGTAAGGCAATATTTTATCAAACTACTGCACTTATCATCGCCTGGTGTCATATCGCAAACTGGCTGTTCCATGTAGTAAACAAGGAGATAAATTACAACTCTGGCTTTGTACAGGATGTACTATAGTTAGAGAGAATCTTGTTTTTGTGATATCAAGTAACGGGACGAAGAAGACATGCATAGTGAACGACACGCCTACTCATAACAGTTAAAGAGTCGGTCAGTACATTAAATTGCAAAGATCCGAGGGGCAAAAAGTTGATTAGACCCATGTACCTATAATTTCACCAAATCTTCAAAACCGGAACGCAATAAAGCTCAAATTTCAGTTTAACAATAAAAATAGGTATGGTAGGTCACATTTCTCTTCGAAGTACATTTCTGGGCATTGTGTATATTGTCCAATTCCATTGTATCTACGGTAACTATAGATTGAAAATTTTGCTATAGTATTCGATTAAGTCCTGTCGGATAGTGACACGATCTTTCATCTAGTGACAAATATCTGGCATTAATAAAGATTTCTGTATGCCCGATAACAGAGACTGTTTCCTTATCTCTTGACGCTTGATCCAAATGGAGTTTATTTAGTATTTCAAAACCCATTATTAAGAATTATACCTGTACCAATGTCTCAGTATACGTCTAATGCTTAGTGCGTAGGTGCCATAGAAGTGTCATTTTATTTTTGTAAATTCAGTATGGCGGAGAAAGTAACGGTGGCCGCGTTTTGTATGCAACTAATATGTTCTCTGGCAAGTAAGTAAATAAGCGCTTTTGTTTGAATATATTATTTATGTCAAATAGGTAATGTATCTATCTATTACATCGTCTGTATAAAGATAAAACCACATAAGTGACATTTCTATAAAAAATCTTTATAAAGCTATGGTAAGAAAATCACTATCGTTCTGCAAGTGAAACACAATAACAAAAAAGCTACAATCTCAATAAGTGGTTTTATCTGCAGAATGATGGTGATTTTCTTACAACAGGTACACAATGTGGAGATTTTTTGTGCATTTGTGGAATGTCACTTATGTGGCTTTAAGCAGACGATATATATTATTATATATTTGTATCACAAGAGTAATTGCAAGATTTAATTCCGCCTTCTATAATCGTTTTTTTTTATTACACCACACGCCTATCCATAACAGTCGCAGTGCCACTCAGAGGTTTAACTCGCAAAGATCTTAGAAGCACTGCCACTGCGCCCGTTGTCTTGAGACATAAGTTGGCAATTCTTCCTTGCCTATAATTTTACCAGCAGCCTTACCCTTTTAAACCGGAACTCAGTAATGCTCACATTATTGCTTTGTGGCAGAAACAGGTAACGTGGCAGTACTTCCCTGGACATCTAGACGTAGGCTCGAGTTCCACCCCAACGTTGTGGATGTTCCAAGAATTCGCACGAAGCGTGTCGTTTCCAAATCTAAATGGCGAATGTTTACGGAGTGGAATTCCCTGCTGCCTGGCGACTTATTCCTTGAACGCAATAACTTGGGTCTTTTCAAGGCGAGATTTAATAGGCATTATTTAGATATGCATGCTACAACGGCGACCTCATTGACACTATCCATCAGGTGAGATGGACTTTTGGATTTGCTTCACTCTAAAGCTTTCTTTTTCATTCGTTATTACCAAACATTTACAAATACCCATATCTTAGAAATTAAAGTCAAATTTCGTAGCAGTAAAGCTTCTTGTGAAAGAGTGTTGCCACTTTACCTATATAATGCGTTCCGGTTTTGTAGTGTAAGGGTGCTGGTGAAATCACAGGCACATGGGACTTGTCAACTTATGTCTCAGGGTGATGGGCGCAGTGGCAGTGCCCCTAAGATTTTTGCAATTTAAAGCTCTAAGTAGCGCTGCAACTGCTATGGATAGGCGTGTCGCTTACCACCAGACGCACGACTTGTTCCTCCCATCAGTATTATAAAAAAACACATTCTAACCTTTGACATTTATTTCGACAGGTGTCTGTTTGCTACTCAGGTTAGCTTTGCAATAAAGTTCCATCGTTTCGGACATCTTAATTTTTCATATAATTTTAAATATTCCTGAAGTTTTTCTATACCATTAAAACAAGTTCTTTTTTGTAATTTACACTTTTTTTTAATTTGTAATCGAATTCACAATTTTTTACTTAAGTTGAATGACAATAGGTTTTATCTCTCTTGATTGTTTAGGAAACCAGCATTACTCCGATATCATTGTTTGCTTAGTACTCGTAATTACCATTTCAACCATGTTGGTTATTGTATAGTCTGTCTATTTTTGAGGAAGAAGTGATACCCGCTTGCGGCTAGTGATTGCAGTCGATAAATATTATATCGACTGCCGACTGAACATTGGTTACGCTTATGGAATAAATAGCCGAACTTGGTTCATTTGAATTATCGTCGGCCCATTATTCGTCTAACTGCTGGGCTGCAGGCACTGCATTTAGAACTATGTCTATAAAAGTACAAAGAGAAGACATACTTTAAAGTTTTTCATTTTAATTCAATATAGATAATCAAATCCGCCTGTTCTCACTAAAATGTATATGAATGAAAATTGATTTCGATACTAGTAGGCAAACTGTCAAAATAAGAACAACGCTATTAGTAATCATTAGGATGTCATAACTTTCACAATTCAAACATTTTTGGCAAAATTTTACTTTCTTTCACAATCTATCGATAAAACTGTCGACAACAACTACATGACTTATCATGAAAACTTTATGAAAACTGGTGAATTTATTTTAAAAAATGTGTAAATTTATTTTATATTATAACCGTAAAACTGCTTTTCAGTATCAAGTCTGATAGCCCTCGTTGGTTTTGTTTACGCCTGGCCATCATATAACATCGAAAACTTCGAATCCAACAGCACCGTTTTAGCCTGGCCTTTAACTACCTTGGAAAAATCACTAATCGGGAGTTTAACTAACATTGGCGCTTTATTTATGACACCTTTCTGTGGATTTGCTCTTCATTTGTTTGGAAGACGATATTCAGCTATGCTATTTGGATTGCCCAATGTTGTAAGTAGCTTTAGAGTAAAATGGAATTCGACTAGCAATTGACGCCTTGACTTTTTACTATTCGTTTATAAAAGGAATGGACAAATTGTTAACCGTTTTTTTGTTGTTAAATAATTGAACCACTTTATAGCTCACTTCAAGTCACATAAACCATTCACAACGTCCATTTTATACGTTAGTATCTTAACATAAAGACGGAGTTCATTATGGTCCAATACCGGGACCCTATCTTTAAAATAATGCAAAGCGAGGACGTAGTTACAAGTACCTAAGATCGCTTCAAGAGGAAATCCATAAGTTTTACCCACTCCACCGGAAGACAGAGTTTATAATGTGTATCATTTTAAGTAATAATTTATAGAAATTACGCACGGTGTACCTCAAGGTGTACTATTGAGACCATGACTTTTCTGTTTAGGCTGTGAACTATAAAAAATGAACTAACTTCCGGTTCAATTCAGCACTTTTACAATTACTAAGAGGTTGCGAATTCAATACCTTGAAAGTTCAAATGGCTAGACCGAGTGTTAACCAAATTATACCTAAAAAAAATTGAACTTTTAATGTTGTGTTGCTTAAGGACTGAATTATATTCTCGACAGCACTAATTACTAACTCACTAAAGCTATATTTGAAGCCTTTATAGTTCTCCTCCCTTCTTTAGAATAAAGCTCCCCAAAAAGTTGCTATTACTTTTTCTCAAGGCGCTCCATACCTTGTATATTTATAACCGTGTAATAATATTTGCTCTAAACTTTAAGTCAGGCACTTGCACATTTTATAATAATGTGTTCATTCGGTCAACAATTTTTATAACTCTCGATTTCACAAGCATTTTGATACCTTTAATGCTTTGTGCTGAGCTGTCGATCGTTTTATCTTTCGAATTATTTTTAAATTGTATTTCGTTGACCATAATTGTGTTCATCAACAGGTATTAATACTTTAACATTGTTAGAACTCCCATTTTATCTGACTCTGATGATAGTTAAGACAAAATATCAATCTTAACTGACACCAATTATGATCTATGTGTTCTGGCTTTATCTCATAGAATAAATTTAATTTCTTATTTATTCCAACAATTAGGTCCATTTTACCATGACAAATAGGCTTCACATTTGGTTTATACGAATGGGTAGTTCAGTATACAAAGTTGCTAAATAAAAAGTAATATCACCTTCGAGATACTTCCTTAAGTTCTGTGTTAGAATAATAATTTTGCAATAACATACAGGACTTGTGAAATTTTCTGAGGTTAAAAAGTAATTTTGTCAAAAGCTAGCATTACCACTTGTTCTAAAAAATTGTCTTTTTCAGATAGGCTGGTTAATAATATGTTTGACAAACTACACACCACTTATTATTGTCGCAATTGGAATAACTGGCTTTAGTGCAGCCGGCCAAGTAGTCTCTGCAGTGTATATTACAGAAATTGTACAAGACTCTATTAGAGGAATGTTAACATCATCATGTGTGACGATGTACTTTATCGGGTTATTGTTTTCATATATATTAGGTGTGTATAATGGAAAATTTACTTCGTTTTTCAAACCTAGTATCATCATCAACTAATTTTTACGTCCCACTACTGGGCACGAGTCTACTCTCAGGCCCAATCCGGCTTGGGGACTTCACAAAGGTTCCAAAGCTTGTGAACCTTCTCCGATGTGTAGGTTTTATCACGATATTTTCCTTCACCGATAATCTCGTGGCAAATTTCAAATAAAATTTCGCATGTAAATTCCGAGAAACTTAGTGGTGCGAACCCGGATTCGAACCCATGCCCTCTGCTTGAGAGGCGGTAGGTTTAGTAGGCTTTTACGGGAAATCCAGTTCTTCAGAGTTTCATTTCTTTACTAAGCAATAATTTATATCTGATTTGATTCCAATTTGCGATACTTTTCTAATTGAAAGCTGCCTGAAATTTTACCTTTGGCACGATATGTAATTTTAAATTACTAATTTCTTATGGCGCTATAATATTTTTATCAATTATTATTTCACAGGAGGATACTTGACGTATCAGCAAGTTTTATATGTACATTTAACGGTATCTTGTCTGTATATTGCTGCACTGGGATTGTTGAAAGAATCACCAGTTTATTTAGTACAAATGGGGAGAGAGGAGGTAAGGTATTTGATATTCGTCTGAGACCAACCACCAGATCACATAGGATTAAAAACAAATATATATATGTAAAAAAATAGTGAGTAGTGTCAAAGTTAGTCCTGCATCTATTTCAGTACATGATATCTTAAGACAAACTCACAATGATACCACTAATAAACTCATTATCATCTTTTTACCTTGAACACAATTATAAACAAAAACAAAACAAAATAACAGCAGTTTCACTAAATTACCAGGCTGCCATAAAACTAAAGACAATATTTGCAGGAAGCAAAGAGGTCAATTGCCTTTTACAGAAGAGTAAAAGACACCTCTAAAGAAGTTGAGGTCGAGATAAAGAAAATCAAACTACAATTAGACCCGAGAATTGAAGAAATCTTGCAAGGAGAGACTGAAAGTAAGTATTTACTTTTCCTTTATAACGCCGATGGGAACAAGGGTGACGATTGAGCAATAAAATTGAAGATACACAAGATTTTTTGATTAACTTAGAATTCAAATTCAAGTAATCTTCTCAACTCCCAGATTCAATGATTGTTAAAATGTTTAATGTTACTTTTACCGGCACAGATACTCCAGGCTATCTACTCTCTTTCAGATCCACAGGAAAAGGAATTGCTTGACAACAATTCTCAACACGCCGAAGAAGTCCCTAAAATTACACCATGGAAATTCTTAAGTATATTTGATATTGTGATTCTTAAATTTGAATAAATGTTTTTATTATTTAAACTCCAATGACAAAGACAAAATTGATATTATAACCACGCACCACAGGGCGAGCCCGACCCCATCGTAAGCGGGGTGCAAGCATCAGAATTTGTATATACAATTTCTTTCTTTCTTACAGAAAAATCTGAATCTTCCAAAAAAGCTTTAGCCATGGCTCTAATCTTAATGGCGGCAAACATCATGATGGGGGTCATTGTACTACAAGTCTACGCTGAGCCTTTGTTCAAGGAAGCGGTACCATCGGTGCATCCAAACACTTGTGCAATATTGCTAGCCGTTGATTTAATGGTGGCCAGCTTTATTTGTTGTTTGGTAGTCGACAAGTTTGGAAGAAAGGTAAGGAAACATTTTTTCTTTAAAACACTGCAAAATAGAATTAATATTAAACCTATATACAATTTGAAAATACCGTTGAAAAGCCTTTATCAAAATAAACATAAAGCAATGTGTGAAAACATTATTTGAACAATGAAAAACAAATAACTTTTAGGAAATTTTGAATTTTATAGAGATACTTTTTTTCCAGTTCCTAATGACAGCATCATCAGGAGCAACAGGACTCTGTACTCTCTTGCTCGCATTGCAACTTCAACTGGGTTTTGCACCGTACTGGTTTACTGCATTCGTTATTTATGCTTACTGCTTTGTGTATAACGTCGGAGCTTGCACTGTACCTTGGATTATGGGTGCTGAAATGTTTTTGCCCGAGGTAAGTGAAGCCAGATTGAAGGTACTATATAATAATTTAAGTTTTGTGCCTATACTTCAACATAGCGACGTGATATTGAAGTTTCCAAGACTTTGGTGATATAATTGAAGAAAAAAAATTCTGATTGGAAATCATGTATTAGACGATAAAGTGTAGAATACTCATACAAGGTTACTTGGACTCAAGATCAGGTTATTGTAACATAAAAGCAGTAAATTTTTTATTTGAAATATTTATACTATAATCTCTAGAGATGCTCATTCTTTTCAGAAGAAACTACCCTTACAGGAATTTAGAATATGAGGATATGAAAAGTCTTTAACTAATATAAAAAATAAAGACACTCAGAATGAATTAGAAAACTAAAATTAAAACAAACTCATGAAACATTTTATAATGTTTAATAGCATAGACGTTTTCTGTTAAATCCTGATATTTTTAAATTAATTTTAGGTCAGAGGTCTCTGCAACAGCATGGTAATGGCGTGCATGTGGATTACCAACTTTATGACTCTCATTATCTTCAACCCAATGGTCGACAGCTTCGGCCTTGGGCCTTTGTTCTACCTCTTCACTGTCATCTGTTTTAGTACTGCTGCCTACAGCCACTTTTGTCTTGTCGAGACTAAAGGTCTTTCAGTCGATCAGATACAGTTGTTATTTTTGAAAAAGAAATAAAAAATAGGTTAATAAGAGTTTGATTTACTTTGTAAAGGTTCCGTCCTTTGGGAGGAGGATGAACAATATGATTGTTGATTGAGTTAATATGTTAGTAAAGTCTTTATGTTATAGATTATGAATACGAGTTGTAATGGCCTAAATCCCTTTTTTTGCACCAGGTGTTTCTTTAGTCACTGCAATAGTTTTGGAGAGATGTTACTAACGTGATAACTCTGCAATTACAAATATATATCAGATGTCGCTTTCCAATGTTCATACATCAATTTAAAGAATGTAACAATTGATTTTTTTCGCGATTGTGTACATGTCTTAACTTACCTTATGACCTAAGAAATATCTTAAAGCAATCCTTCATAATTCACTTTTATTATACAATGTAATGCTTAATTAGAACAATTGATGTTGTGAAAGTAAACAAAAACAAATAGATAAAGTAAAAAGAAAGAAAAAAATGATCTTTTGTTATGATAGATTGTTAAGAACTGCAATATGTATTACAAATGTTTATGTACAGTGTGAAAATTGGAATTGTTTTGATTTGGTATACATTCAAACTTGGGTAGAAAATAAAAAACAAACAGCTATAAAATGCGAACGGAATTAACATAAAGACCTGAAGGAAAAAAGCAAAGATGACGAAGTATGACAAGCATATTAAATTGTCAGTGATGTGAAAAGATTTCATTTGAGTGATGTAAAAGTGTCGACAATTGAGCTTGAACATATATCGACTGGCTCTAATGAGCGTTTTTTCTGAACCATACAAAATCTCAGTGTCAATGAATGAATCAATCAAATAGCTAAATGTCGGCACCTACCTATTTAGTGCATTTATTAAAGGTAATGAGGTGCACGAAAGGAGCCTCCCCGCACGGTATACCATTCCTTTCCTGTACATCTGGCGTATCCTGGGCAACATTCAGCGAGTACCTCACGCCGATCACAAATGCTTTCACCACGATGGCAAGTATTATAATATATTCCATTGATACGATAAAAAGATTAAAGGAAATAGTACACTATGATTAATATAGAAGCAAAAAAATTAAATATAGTAACATATTAACATGTCAGGGATAAACCTACACATTCAATTAAATTTGACAAAACTCAAGCCCATACAAAAGAAGTCCGTTTTTATTGAAATTAGAAATCATCCTAATTTGAAGAGCTTTGATGGAAGCGTTTGTTAGCCTTCTGGAAAATGGAGGCTTCTACGAGGCGGAAAAACGCTTATTGATTAATTGACACTGACAATTCGTATAATATGTTTCGTCGATTTATGAAATTTAATAAATTACTTTCTCGGAGAATATTTTTGGTTTCCAATTACCGTAAAATCTGATACTTGCGTGCAGTTAATTGTGTGTTTGCAATTCGCTGGTGTTAATCGAAGAAAGTGTGTATAATCTTAATTAACTGTGAAAGATGTTAATTAAACTTTTTATTTGGAAGTATGAAGTTCTGTTTTTTTGCATGATAGACTTGTCGAAATTTCATGATAAATGGGGAATTTGAAAATTGATACTAGCAGTTTTGAATTGATCAGAATAAAGCGTTATTGATAGTCATCGAGTATATAACTAGAAACAGAGACGAAATAAGGGCTACCCATCCCTGTCAACTCATCAGGCGAATAGGCCTTATATCACTTTTAAATATCAACTTTCCAAAATTACAAATTAGAAAACTGAAATAATACAGCGCCAATAACTGACCTGTGTGTACGTCTCCGTAGATTCCAAAAATATTCTGTATTTATTGTAATAAAGATAATATCTCTAGCAATGGGGGCTGTTCCATTCGGTGGTGTGGGAAAAACAGCAAAACATTTAATTACAAAACAAACGGAATCACATTTATTTATTTATTAAGGTTCATTAACAATTGTTGCAATAACATTATGATTGTAACCTATTGCAATGTTAAGTATTATACTAATTGCACAATTTTTTTACAGTCGAACACAGCATGCAAGTAAATTAGTGGACACAATTAAGTAATCCGTAATGGATATGTATTGGACTCGTATTTATACATTTTGATAGTAAGCAAAAGGAAACAAAATAAATAAACCTAAATGTAGTACTGTATATTCTGCTACTAAAGCTTAAAACAATTTCGTCGCTAATTATATATTAAATATGTAATTTTTCAAGTTTCGTTCATTATAGCAAAGCTCAAGTTAAACTGGTTGATTTGAAGTGAAGTTTCGAATTCAGGCTGGTCAATCGGAGCGCAGTTGTCACCATAATGATTTGGCAGAATAGTTTTCAAACAAATTAAATGACATTTCGTCTCTATTTCTGGTTATATAATCGATGTTGATGATTGTTAGTTTATAACATTTATCATATTGGAAATATGTGTATTTATAATTATTTTATTCAAGCAATATCCACCCCTTTACAACGAACGGACGTAAATTGGTACACAAAAGTTATTTATATACATAGGTAGTTCCAGAATTTCATGTAATTTATTATTTTTTGTTAAAATTTGACGTTACATTCATTAGTGTTCTAGAGGACGCCTCGCGATAAAGGACATACATTATAAGGACATAGATACATTATAAGCTTAAGTCCTGGGAATAGAGCTAGAGTAATAGAGTGAAATTGTATCTCATTTATGATTGCATTTAGTCTGTGGCACATGATTATTTATATCAGGACCAGAAAGAACTGCATCAAGAGTGCGTTCATTTATTACCTTTGATAACTTGATATAAACTAATTGTGATTTGTGATAGAAAACTAATTGTGTTCTAGGTTGCATTCGTAATTTAATTGATAAATAAAAAATAAAGCATCAAAAGTGTCGAACGCTAGTATATATTAAAATCAGAGACGTCAAATTCAGATTGCCGTATGAAATGAGTTTTTTTTTTATTTTCACGTAATGAGATTCTGTAATATTCAGGTATTAAATAAAAGAAGTAATATTTAAGAATGTCATAGAATATCACGCCTTGGGCTCAGGAGACACTGGACTCCTCTTTCGATCGCTTAATTTATTCTTTGTACTTTTTTTATTGAATACCATCATGATGTTTTTAGCACAACGACAATCATATATTTTTTGTGAAAATACTCCAACAGTTTGGTGTTGCTATTATTGATACAAGGATTGAACAAACAGAAAGAAAAATTCCTTCGATCCGGCTGGATACGAACCAGCGCCTGGTTCCCAGACCGGGGCTAACCGCTCTCCCAACTGAGCTACGGAACGAATCAGCAGATCACACGAATTTCTCTATGTACTTGTTGCTAATCTTTGTTTTTGGTTTGAACAGCTTTTTGGCGTTATTTTTTTGTACATTTAGCTACAGTTCAAGAAAGAAACTGTGTATTATCTACCGTGGCATTATGCTTCGTGCATGTGTGAATGTGCAATTGCAGCAAAGTGATAAGGTTTATTTTAACAATATTTTGTGCTTTCAAGGTTTGCTTGTTCGTGAATGAAACTCGTGCGAATTTTAAAGTAATTACGATGTCTTACGAAGTTTTTGCACGACATATCTTTGAGCTGGACATCGTGAATGTGCCAATGATGTTGTGTTTGAATGTTTGCATGGTTGAGGATCTGAAAAATGTACGGATGACTGTGAAGAAGATAAACTATACAACTCTGATGTCCAGTACGTGTATGAAGTATTCCAATGAGTATCTGAATCTTGAATTAAACTTTTAATAGCAGTAGAGTTTGTGGCCTAGCCTTAGCGAAAGTTAAGGAGAAGGGCTCGGATCCACATACATTTATTAGAAGTAGAAAACGAAAAGGAAAGACTGTAAGAAACAATTATAAAATTATGTAAAACAAACAGTATAAAACACTTATTACTCAACAGTCCAAACATTTACCTCAAGAGGGCCTATACACGTGTATCTAATGATTTAAAAACAGTAAATCACGTGAAGTTTTACATGAATATGATCCATGAGCACGTCCTCCTACTTTGAGAATTTTGATGGGAGTAATGACGATTCAAAATTTTAAAAGTGGCCAGGAACTAGTAAAAAGGGATATCAGCATGATGATGAAGGAGATCAGCATCGTCACAAGTTTTTTGTGAAAAAGTTCGTCCAGAGAAGTAAAGCCACCAGACACATAAGGATAAGGGTGCTGGTGAAACTGCAGGAACATGAAACTTGTCAACTTTATATCTCAAGGTGACGGGCACAGTGACAGTGCCCCTTAGATCGTGGCGATTTAAAGCTTCGAGTGGCACTGCAACTGTTATAGACAGTTGTGTAGCTTACACCCCAGAGGGAGACCGCAAATGCTTTGGAAGGATGACATGAAGAAAGTGGCGGGGTGGAATAGGATTCAGGTGGTACAGAACTGAGAGTAGTGACAGTAATTGAAGGAAACGTATACCGATATGGTTGAGAATGGCTAGAAAGAAGAAATGGACAGAATCGCAACAAAACACGTTTAAGTTTTACGATTCGATCGACCAAAGCCTAGCAACCTAATTTGCAATTCAGCCCACCAACCTAAATAAACAATAAAAAAAAAATTTAGTCGTTAGAACACCATAAAGCTAACAGATATTGCTATCAAAACAAGGAGCGTTGCGTACACAGATTTCTAGGGAGATAACACCAAAGCTTATACGAGAAACAATGTCTTGGAGATTAACAGATATTAATAATAGGCTTTAGTTATGCAAGTAGCTGCTACTCGTAGAGGAGATATGGGAATCGGCTTTAGTATCAGATTAAATGCCGCTTTGTACAAATTGTTTGTTAATATTTTAAGACTGATTGCACGGTTTTGATGGACAGTTTGAGAATTGTTACGACAGTTATTGTGTCCTAAGCTTTGGAAAAATGTTTGAGCTTTGGAAAAACGTTTGTATATAGAGATTACAGTAATAAAACAAATTTATCGCCGCAATGGAAACTGTCATTAGTATAAAAACCGTTCACACAATCACGCTCGAAGCCTTTCTGCTGTAGTAACGTATATACCTAAAGCCTTTTTTCTAGACAAAGTCTACAATCCTTCTGCTTGCTACGATCCTGGCATCTTTTGCCGCATCATCAAACAATAATGCTTTCATACATGCTCGTCAGTTAAGGATATTCTTGACCTGGCGTTTCTTTATCACATCCTCAATTTGCTCGTAGTGGGTTGCCTTTACCAATATTCTTGCTCATACTTGCTTTATAAATCTGCTTCGTCAATCTTCTTTAGTTCATCTTTCTATACGTCTGGGCAACCTTAACATCCTTTTTTTTCTATATTTGACTCTACATCTTCTTCCACCCCGCAACTCTCTCTTACTACATTTTATATACGATAATTTTTTATTATTTCACTATATCTTAGAATGTGGTACTAGAATACCCATTAATAGGAACTTTTACTAAGATGACTTCGAGGAGCCTATTCATGATCAAGTATTCCGCGCAAAATATTCTATATTTGTACCTTGATAAAAAGCAGTTTTCATACAAGACAATGCAAAGAAACCTAGTAGCTTATGGTAGAAGGTGTGAAGGTGATAAAAGATAATAACTTCCTCCAGAAATTAACGAAAGAACTTGTAACGTATTAATGAAACTATAAAATATTAAATTATAAGTTGAAAAAGAGTTTCCGCGCCATATTTTTTATTAATAAATAATACTGTTAAATGTAAGGTAGTTATATAATTAGGTATGTAAGAAACTATGAGACTACAATATGTGTTTAGTGCTTTCTACTAGCATGGTAGGATAGATTTTACGTCTATAACGTTGTGATGTAATGCTTTTTTAAGTGATATAGTAAAATGGTAAGGTGGTAAAGTGGGTGTGTGTACGTACCATTTCTAGATCGCTTTCTTTGTTCTGTAAGAATGTTGTTGAATTTAGTACCAATGTTAAACTGTTATATTTTGAAAGACATACAAGGTCAACCTACTGGTGTAGAAATTTGTACCTTACAGCTTGTAGGTATAACCCCCACATTAAAACAAACAATTTAGTGTACAAAGATGATTTAAACTTAGTATATATTCCTTGTTTTAGAAGTTATTATATATAATATTATATACAAAAGATGTTTGCTACTAGGTATATACAGAATTTCTGAAAGTTCAAAGTAGTTCTATCAAATATTAGAAGTCTAGAAGTCTGAGGCAACCATGTGATCATACGACATATATATTCATACATGGTACACTTTAAAATGTGACTATGTTAATATACAACATAAGCAGTGTGATTTCTTTCATAGGAACGGATAATTAATATATCAAATTCGATTAATTTCGTTCATAAGACAGTTTCTCTTTATCTCCTATGGTTTCGGATTTCCCCATACTGTCCTAGTTAAAAAAAAATCACACTGTATACTTACGTCTTTGGATTCTCATAGGAGCAGGCAGAACCTCTCATGCTTCACTCACATCCATCAATCACGCAGTGAAGTTTGATGGTAAAGACAGGCTGTAAGGACTAGCCTTATCCGTCATAACAGGATGCTTATGTCACTTCACATCGTTCAATTTTCATTAAAGCACACATGACTAGGAAAATGAAACTGTTATTTCGGATCTCAATCGTGATTATTTCTATTTTATTTTAATTCACTACATATAAAGTTTATAAGTAGACAATTTCCTCGAAGGCCTTACGTAAGTTTCGCCCGTGGTCCCCAGGGACCCAGGGTTTCAACCGCAAATGCCACAATTATATTTTCAACCATTAATATTTTGGGCTCTTTGCAGGCTCATTCATGATCCGAAAAATAGTTACATTTCCTATGTGCGGCAATCGCGAAAACACATATCGCACTATTAAATACAACAGTGTATTAACTCAAAAAGTGTATTTTTAGAATCGATGGAAAACGAATTACTCACTTCCCGTGAAAGATTATTAAAATGTATGGATAGGTTAAAATTTATTACAGACATCTAAACAATTTTCTATAAGCCAAATATATATTTTTTTTTTTAAAGAATAAATAATTTCATGTAAGGACTGTTTTAGCCAGAATCAGCTCACATAAAGTTTGTCTCATTTTAAGTAAATATCTTCTTATTGTTTTTGTTTTGACGTGTAGAGGAATCAAATTTTGCATTCAGCTATGATTTCGTCGGTATTTTGTAAAAAGGGCGAAAGCGCTATTTCGAAAAATTTTTAGGGGAGCGTGTTTTTAGCTTTTCACAATTGTTTTAAAATATTAACGTACTTAAATTCAATTTTAAAACTTAAACTTAATTAAAACCAAAATTGTACTTTAAAACAGGACGTAAATATTATATATTTATATATATACATGTATATTTATGTGGGTACAATATATCGTTATTTATTAAATATTTGATAAACTAATATGTGTTTTTATTTAATTTAATATACAAATTTAGTTATACAATTATCCCGCTCCCGCTCCGATTAGGTTTCCTCTATCTCAAAGGTTATCTAGAAGAGATCGCTCTAAGAGACCTTTGCCCACATTAGTTTAAGTTGTTAACGTACTATTTTTGGTCTTGTGTGTGAGCAATAAAGTCTCTATCTATATACTTTAAATCAGTCATTAAAACCTAAAACAAGGTCCATTGTAAATTTTTTTGAAAGGGCGCTTTCGCCTTTTGCTACAAAACAGCGACAATATAAACTTGAATTTCACATATTTTGAGTTAGAACACTATTATAATAGCAGTGCGCTATCACTTATTGTTAGTACAGTAACATTGTCGTATTATACATACATATAAGTTATAGATATTAGTTACTGGTATTTAAAATGATTTCATTAGTCATTGCAAAAAGATAAATACTTGTTAATTTACAGAAGGTTTGTCATCAACCTTGGATCCGTCATGGAACCTTCAAATACGTTATTTGACTTAAGCAATGCAACAAGAAATTGAAAATTAAACTATTTTTAACCGACTTCAAAAAAGGAGGTTCTCAATTTGACTGTATTTTTTGTGTGTAAGTTAAGCAATTGCTCCGACATTTGTAAACCGATTTCGATTATTCTTATTTTGTTGTATTTAGTGATATCATTCAAATTTTAATGAAAAATGACAAATTAGGGGATGATTCCGGTTTATTGGAATTCACACACTTTCCGTTAACCGACTTCAATAAAACTTGACGAATAGATGTAATTTCACAAACTTTTGAGATCGGTTTTTTTAAAAACGTTTCGGGCTTTTTACAGGTCACGGCAGTTAGCCGATTTATATAAAAAAAAATAGTTTAATTTCCAAGAAACAAAAATAAAATTTGCTAGTTACCTACCGTCAGTTAAATCGGTAACTGCGACTTCGATTTCTTTATCTATAGGTTAAGTTTTTATAGGATTAACTTACGCAATCTGGACGAAGAATCAGCTGCCATTGCGCAGGCTACAAGCGCGCACAGCGCCACCACGGATCCCCACCGCACCATCTGGAAAATGCAAAACAGCCCATCAACAAAGATTGCAATCAAATTGTAGACTTACAAGATTGACAAATTTTATTTGCAAGTCATGCTTCATTAAAACCATGTCACAATTGCTGAGGAGTCACTTCCAAATGGAAGAATGCTATAAAACGATGTTCAAATATACAATTAAATTGTAAATTTTGCAACCCAAGTACGTGATAACTAATAAAACAGTTTAGCAACTAGAATCTTTCATTGTCGTGTTGTGGCATCTTCAAGAATGCTACAAGGTCGAGCTTCCTCTCGTGTACACGTTAGCGTCTTTGTTTGTGTTTATTGTTTAACAGTAAACAACCACCCGAGCAAGACAATCAGTTACATGAAGTGAAGCTAAGGCCCAGTGCCCACTGATAACAGGACTCGGCGGAGGATTTTTCTGTGACTAAAAGTAATATACTGTTGTATATGCATATGTACAGACAATGTATGTGAATAGATGGTGTCAATGCCTACGACAGCGTTTTGCGGGAGACGGTTTTAACATTTTATTCAATAAAAATTATTTATATCCTGAGACACACCACGTAACCTTAACATTATGGTTTTATAATTGAATTTTCAATGATAATGGTCGTAGCTACAAAACCAATGCGTCGCATGCTTAGGGATGCCGAGACGGCGGCCTGGGGGTTACCTATCAGTACTAGTCCGAAATCGCATTTTCCAGAAATAACGTTTGGTCGAAATTTCATAACCTCGAAAGTAATTTCGAGAGGAAAATGTTTTTTTCTTTTAAACCTAACCTAACCGAACCTAATCGTGTCTTTGCGATAAACATTCGACATGTCCTGAAAGAACAAATGTTTCGGTGTAATGAAAATTCGGACAAAAAAATTTTCGAGTTTCTGATAGGTTACCCAGCCGGGGTTATGCCTCGGCAGCCTTGGGGATACTTCGGCAGGCACCGGTACGCCGAGTGCGACTATGCTGGTATGCGTGCTGGTGTATGTTCCGTAGTAGTAGAGCTCCTTTTGAAAGGTTTCGTCCAGGGAAGTACTGCCTACCTACTGCTACCTACCTTACCTATTTCTGCTACAAGGAGTATTAATGTCAACATTACTATATATAGTTAATTCCCACACACACACAAACACACACTCTCACTCACACACACACACACACACACACACACACACACAAACTCACAAACACACAAACTCACAAACACACACTCTCACACACACGCTCACACACACAGAACAAAATACTTGCCCAGTCTTGAATTTTATTTATATTTATAATTTTTTTATTTGTATAAACTAAATTTTGGATTAACTTTCTCTCATAGCAATCATTCGTGACGCAGACAATGTTTTATTGATACTTTATCCGTAGGCGGAGGCCTGGAGACCTATAGCACAGGGTATCCTAGTTTAGGCTCCAGCCTTCACAGACAACAAATGTTTTATTACTTAAGAATGTTTAATTATGGTTGAAATTGTGTGTGAAGGAAATAAATTTATTATTATTATTATTACTGTGTTCCGATTTTGAAGGGTAAGGGTGCTGGTGAAATTACGGGCAACTGCATTTGTCTGCTTATATCTCAGGGTGACAGTGCAGTGCCGCTCAGATCTGTGAGATTTTGAAACTCTGAGTAGTACTTCAACCGTTATGGACAAACGTGGCGCTCAACACCAGGCGCGCGAGTTTTTCGTCTTGTCACTTGATATTATAAAAAATCTGTCACAAACACTGTTAAATGGTCAGTTATTGCTTACTCCATAATAAAAAGTGAAGATACTCAACAATTAAAGCCAAATCCAAAAACCCCTTTTCCCAAGTTTTGCGTAAACGATTGCATTTAATTGTTCATTGTGGTTGGTTTGATTCCCACATTGATTTAGCATCAGCATTTGAACAATGGAACTTTGAGCGACCTTGGCATGATTGTAGAATTGGACTGCTCAAACATATGTAAAGGAAATTATTTAAATGACGATAATTTGACAATTTGGTTAACTTGCACTTGATTTGAAGGTTCAGAGTCGAGTTACTTGGTTAATTGATATTCAATTATTTTTGTGAAATTACTCCAACAGTTTGTGATAATCGAACACTGAGAAAAAATTTCATCGATCCGGCTGGATTCGAACCAACGTCTGCCAGCAAACCGCGCCAGACGCTATGCAATGCGGGTTGGGGACTTAACACGTTTTTCAAGAGTTGTCAGCCTTCTTCGACATGCAGGTTTCATCACGACGTTTTCATTCCGACAAACATACAGGTGCAAGCCGGGATTTGAACCCATGACCTTGGCTACCACGCATTTTTTTCTTCAAAGAAAATAACCTGCGTAAAACTAATATATCTTTCATAAATTATTTGAGCATCCTTAGCGTAGGTATCGTACGAAATTTACAATAAAACTTTTATCATTTCGCACATCTGCAAACACAGTTAAAAGTCGGAAGTTAACGTAAGTAGCAAGTTAACGGATCCCCACGTCCTCAATAGAAACTAACCTTACATAATTCCAATGTTTGTCTCTTTATCCGAAATGTTTCTACAAACACGGCTTGCTAACTGAACGTTAGCGATGTTTACGTTTGTTTCCATATGTTTACGTAAACGATGACTTGTCGATGCAATGTCTCTACCATGAATTGACAGGAACAGAGAAATAAGTTTTGATTATAGTTCCCTTGCCCACGAAACTTTTTGGTTTTACGGGAAGGGCACAATTACCTGTGGAAGCAAGCCTGCACATGGACCTTATCAGTCAGGTCCAGATTTCATCCTGTTCTTAAAAGACTAGAGCCTTGGGTGAGAGCCTCCGGTGCGTGTTTAACACTCCTTAGAGAAGCCCCGCATCCAGCAATGTAATATATAATGAATTTTGAGGTGATAATGATCTACCAAATCATTTCAACGTAGATTAAACTACGAAATAAGACTCAATTTAACGAAATTTGTAACGAAATTGTACATAGCATAGTGTACTTTATCTCAATTATGTAACGTACAAAGTCAAAGTCAAAGAATCATTTCTTCCATGGATAAAATAAATTTACTCTCGAAAACGTCATTTTTTAAGCTACTGCTCGTTCACTGTGCTAACTTCCCTGTGAAGAGCGAGCAGTGCTTTGGAATACACCTTGAATCAAATTTGTGTGAAATCTAGATCCATGTCGTCTTTCCATACTATTACATCTTCATCTAACATGTAGTCTTCAATTTTGTAATATGACTTTTTAGTTAAATTTCTTTCAATGTAAGTTTTTAATTTAGGAAATGATAATTTTAATATATGCTCCGGAATCTTATTGTAAAAACGTATAGATCCCCATAAAAGCATCGTTTACCTCAGCTAAACGTGTGACAGTATGACCTCCTTACATCGTCATCGCATCTTTTTATCGCCTTTCTCCGGTTCCTGGCCACTCGTATTTAAATTTAAATTTAGAATTTCCATAGTTCTTTTGCCTCGCATTCTGATTTTGCTTCGATCCATCGTCAGTCCCTGCCCGATCGCGGCAGCGAACACGTCTTCTCTCCTTATTTTTTTGAGCCGTTTACCAGTTACTAAAAATCTCTTTTACGATAAACATTTTAAAGATCATAAATATTGTTAAAACTGGATTTATTACCACTAGTTCTTTACCGTTTTGAACTTTGAATTTTAAACGTACTAAGCAAGATGTACGGAAGCGCGCTGGCTGCGGAGGCTACTATACTACTCTCCCGACAATATTACAATCCTACTGAACAGTCAACAGAACTCCACCAGCGCCAGCAGCGCTCTCACAAACGAAATCGTAGTACCATGAGTTTGGACTTTGTCCTAAGTTTAACAATAGTATCAGGTTCTTAGGTTTTCACCATTGTTACACATAAGAATCAGACACAAAAGATGTTGACTGATCACGATCAACCGTGACCATGGGACCTGTAAAGGGCCCGAAACGTTGGTTTGTTTGAAAAAACAAATATACGCGATTTTAATCCGGAAAAATAGTTTCATTTCCTATGTTTAATAATTGTTCTAAGGATATGGTGTCCGCGGAAATTCCCGAGATTGTGTTTTAGTTGGTACCTATCTAATTCTCTCTTTCTCTTTCGTCGTTCCCTCATGTGCGAGGACCGTGGTCAGCTTCGTGCCTACCTCTGAAGCGGGTGATCTGCCATCATTTGTTTCTGTCCAACGCGTCACTTATTACTGAGCAAAATTGGAGGACGATGAGTCTTTCACTCAGCCGGTCAATCAATGAACAATCTTGTTGGTGCATGGCCTCGTAATCGCTTTCCTTCCGTATTTTCACCTACAATCAGTTTCTCCGAACTTTCATCGTCTCTGCGCATCAAACGGCTTAAATATGAAAGAATGCATTGGCGGCATATGGTGGACAACTGAGTTTAAATTTGGAGCTGAGACAGGTTTCATACATCGGTACGTTTAGCAGTCAAAGGTAATCTCAGTATTCGTCTCCTGCACCACATTTCAAATGCATCAATTCTTTGTTTTTCCCTGGTCAGAATTGTCCATACCTCCATCCTCCTCATGCCATGGTTCCAAAAATTGGCTTTCATGTAACAATATAAATTGAACCTAACGGGCCCACGTACGGTATAAAACATACCTATTACGTTATGTTGTAACAAATTATAGCACAAAATCTTGAAATGTCTACAAACATGTTTTATACGAGCACACATATACGAATATAATTTACGATTACATTACAATTTGTCGCAAAATAACAACATTATTACGTGTAACACAATCACATTTCATCTATTTATCCATGGTATTTCGTATTCTCGTTTCGCAAATATCGATTTTATTGAACAATATATCACGAGTATCGATAAAATGTATCATTCAATCGATTCATCATGACGATCTTATGTATTTTGTGGTTAGTTGGCGATTGTGTAATACGTGATGGGCATAATATTTACTTTTGTTACGACATAGATACAGCGGCGGGCCGTACAGAGAGCTGTTTTATACAAGTCGT